GCATTAAAAGTTTGAATTTTGACTACAAATGTAAAAATCACGAAAATTCGTAAATTATTTTATGCTATAAATTCATAAAATGTTCCTTTTAAATCTAAGATTTGAAAATTTTTAATGATCTATAATATATACTAGACAGATAAACCGTCTCCGCTCAGAATCGTTTTTCGTATACAATGATATAGTATCATTGGATTCAAATTTAATTCCATCMATTACWGTAACCCACTTGTAACCTACTGTACAGTGGAGTGACATTCACGACTTACCTGCTTTTTTTAATGCTTCTTGAAAAACATACGCTTGTGGGCACCAATCCCCCATTCCCATTTTTTTTTTCATAATTCAACTCAAGTTTATTTTTGTGTATACGATTTTTAAACATTAATATTCATGTGCTCTCTTAGTAATCATTAGTTGATAACGTTTAACGATCGTTATCATAAATTCTTAAGTAAGCGTAGAAGGCAGAGGCTACTAAGTTCAATTTAATACACTTAAGCAACTTATCGTTCGAACTCGAGCAGAATGAGTACATTACGAGGGCAAACTGCAAAAAAATGCATGTCTGTCGTGACAAAAACTTTATATATTATTGTTGTGATACGACAACTCCTACAGTTGTCGGCAACGACTTGCAGTCTGATGGAAAAAAGGTTAACCACCGGTTGGTGTCACCGTAATAAACTGTCAATTTACAGCGCCATGCACACAGTTATAATAAGAAAATAATTATAGTTATATATACAATGAATAATAATAATTTATATTGGGCGCCAAAAATTTACTAAAATATATACGTATTTTAATAAACATTATTATTTTATTGACCATGACGACGTCGGACCGCTGAAAATCCAAATCATGATGTTTGTGCGAATTTATGTAGGCCGTAGGCGAATAAAAGTATCGTTTGAACCGGGTCAAACTAATTACCACTGTGATGATGCCGTGCAATTGAAAGATTTTTTTTTTTATTATTTATTTGACGAAACATTATATTTACAATCTGTATTTACAGTTATACAATAAGTAAATGTGATGGTGATTGATTGGTAGAAAAGGGAAGTCGCCCAGTGACGGCACCCCGTGGAAAGGTAATTAAGGAGAGAGTAGGTCCCTACACCAGTTCCTTTTCAGACGCCTGGGTGGATTACCTGGAATTTGATTGGATGATTATAGGATTAGAGTGAGTACTGAATGTTTTATGTGTTTTTTTTTGTAGGTGATATTGGCAAGGCTGTTTAAGGTTAGAATGCAGATGTCTTTATGAAGTGCCTTATTGGTAATATACCAAGGGGCACCTGATATTAGATGTAGACAAATAGACTGAAATGCCTGAATAGTTCTAGTATTTGAGGGTTTGGCTGATCCCCAAAGTTGTGTGCCATAGTACCACATGGGTCTTAAAAGAGCAATGTATATTGTTCTTTTGGTTTTTAATGAGAGCTTTGAGCGGAGTAAGGTGCTTGTTTTTTAAGTGGGGACCCCATGTAAGGCGTTTGTCAAGAATTAAACCTAAATAATTAGTTTGCGTGGAAGATGGAATTTGAGCATTAACAATAAAAGTTGCGGGACATTCTAAGGAACGTAGTGTGAAGGTAATTTGAGAGGATTTATATGGATTAACTTGGATCTTCCAGTCGTGAAACCAGGTGTTTAGCACAGTTAGGTAGTTTTGGATTTTTTGGGCATCTTGGACGGGAACGTTGTCAATAGCAAGAATAGCAGTGGCATCCGCAAACGTACCAAGAAGTGTGTTTTCGTTTAGAGGTAGGTCAGTGGTAAACGTTGAATAGGAAGGGAGCTAAGTCACTACCTTGGGGACACCAGCAGTTGCTATTTGAGAGTTGGATAAGGCGCCGTTGATTTTTGTGACAAAAGTTCGTTGGTGTAGATAAGATATTATTAGTCCAACACAATTGAAAGATATGTGCATTTTTTGTACATTACTTTACTTTTTGCGTGATCAAGACAGCGTCCGACCGCACGACCGCTGACATAATCAATCACACCTCGCACGCCGAACTACTGCGAGTAACACAAAATTGTTGTGCATTACTTTTTGCGTGACGATGACGACGACGGACCGCTGACAATCCAAACCATGCGATTGACGTCGTACTATTGCCAGTAATGCAAATTTGTTATAAGTTACTTTATGTGTGACGATGACGACTTCGGGAGG